GGACTGTGCGGTGGTCACTCTTACCGAAATTGTCAGGGACTGGTGCATCAGCAGCTGGCAGATTGGTAAGGATGAGGTCAAGTATGTTTTTCCCTCTTGTTGGTTCCCTCACCACGTGCCGCAGACCCAGTCCAGCAGCTCTGTCCTTTAGAACCCGACCAGCTCGATCTGTAGTACTGCTGCTGAGCCACTCTTGGTGATGGACATTTAAATCCCCCGCCCAGACTACCTTTTGTGTACTTGCCATTCTCAGGGATTCCTCTAAATATTGTTCAACATGGAGGTTTACCATTTGGTCAAGGGGCTGAGGAGTGGCAGATAGAATTTAATCTAGATAAATGCAAGGTATTGCATTTTGGAAAAAGAAACAACAGCAGAACTTATACAAATAAGGGTAGGGCCCTGGCAAGTATTGCAGAACAGAGACATCTAGGGGTTCAGGTACATAATGCTTTGAAATTTGCGTCACATAGACAGGACGGTTAAGAAGGTGTTTAGCACACTTGCCCTCATTGCTCAGACCTTTGAGGATAGGAGTTGGGACATCATGTAGAAGTTGTACAAGATGTTGGTGAGACCACTTTTGGAGTACTGTTTACAGTTCAGGCTGTCCTGCTATAGGAAGGGTATTATTAAATTGGAGAGGGTTCATAAAAGATTTACCAGGATGTTGCCAGGAATGGAAGGTTTGAGTTATGAACATAGATTGGATAGCCTGTAACATTTTTCACTAGGACGTAGGAGGTTGAGGGGTGACCTTACAGATGTTTATAAAATCATGAGGGGCAATGGTCTTTTCCCTAGGGTGGAGGAGTTCAAAACTAGTGGGCATATTTTTAAGGTGAGCGGAGATAGATTTAAAAAGGACATGAATGGCAATTTTTTTTTTTTTTTACAGAGAGTGGTTCATATATGGAATGAACTGCCAGAGGAAGTGGTGGAAGCAGGTACAGTTACAACATTTAAAAGACATTTGGATAAGTAAATGAAGAGGAAAGATTTGGAGGAATATGGGCTAAACGCAGGCAAGTGGGACTAGTTTGTTTTGGGAACATGGTCAGCATAGACTAGTCGACTGAAGGGTCTGTTTCCATGTTGTATGACTCATAACTCTATAACCTAAAAAGGACCCATTCATACCTACTCTATTTCCTGTCAACTAGCCAATCATAGCAGGGAGGCGATGGCCTAATGGTATTATTACTGTACTGTTAATCCAGAGACCTGGATAATGTTCTGGGGACCTGGGTTCAAATCCTGCAATGACAGATGGTGGAATTTGAATTCAATAAATATCTGGAATTAAGAATCTTATGATGACCGTGAATCCATTGCTGATTGTCAGGAAAAACCTTTCTGGTTCACTAATGCCCTTTAGGGAAGGAAACTGCCATCCTTACCTGGATCTGGCCTCCATGTGACTCAGTCCCACAGCAATGTGATTGACTCTGAACTGCCCTCTGGGCAATTAGGGATGGGCAATAAATGCAGCCTAATTAGCAACGCCCTCATCCTGCGAACGAATAAAGAAAATAAAATCCATCCAACTAACATGTTACCACCTACACAATGGGCTGTTACTTTTGTGTTACAGCTTGTGATGTGACATTGGAAATCTAAGTGCCTCTTTATCCACATTGCTTGTTTCTTCCTCAAAGAACTAAAATAAATTTGTGCAATACAATTTTCCCTTTCACATGTTGACTCTGCCTAATTGAATGATTACTTTCTAAGTGTCATTACCATCAAACACTCTCAAGGAGTTAGTGTAAAGATCACTTTTACTATATCTTATTCACAATCACAGAATTGTTGTGGCATGAAAGGAGGCCATTCAGGCCATCATATCTGCACCAATTCTATTCCTTATCAACCTCCTGTCTTTTCGCCAAATCCCTGCACAACATTTCTATCCAAATAAACATTCAATGCCCTCTTGAATGCCTCAATCGAACCTGCCTCTATGACATTTCCAGGCAGTGCATTCCAGAGCCTAACCGCTCGCAGTGTGAAAATGTTTTTTCTCACATCATCCTTGCTTTTTTCTCCCCAAATCATCTTTCCTTCTTTTGCACATCACTTTAAATCTGTCCCCTCTTGTTCTTATTTTCTTTTACAAGAATGAATAGCTTCTCTTTATCTGCTATATCCAGCCCCCTCATGATTTTGAAAACTTATATCAAATCTCCACTTGGTCACCTTCTCTCCAAGGAGAATAGTCCCAATTTCTTCAATCTATTCTCATCACTGAAGTTTTCCATTCCTGGGACCATTCTTGTAAATCATTTCTGCACTCTCTCTGATGCATTCACATCTTTTGAATACTGCGGTTCGCAGAACTGTACATAATATTCCAGCTGAGATCTAACAATATCACCTGCTTCCTCTTGTCCTCTATGTCCCTATTAATAAAGATGAGGACACAGTACGTCTTATTAACTGCTCTTTCCATCTTCAATGTCCTGTGCATATATACACCCAGTTCCCTCTGCTCCTGCACTCCCTTTAGAATTGTACCCTCTGTTTTATATTATCTTTCAATGTTCTTCCAACCAGAGCGTATCACCTCACATTTCTCTGCATTGAACCTCACTGCCAACTATCCACCCACTCCACTAACTTGCCAATGTCCTTTTGGAGTTCCATTATCTATCCTCCTCACTTGATAACAGTTCTTCTAATTTTCGTGTCATCTACAAATTTGAAATTGCTCCCTGCACACCAAGATTGAGGTCATTGATATGCATCAGGAAAAGCAAGGTTCCCAATATAAACTCCTGGAGAACTCGACTACAAACCCTCCTGAAAAATATCATTGACCATTATTCTGTTTCCTATCACTCAGCTAATTTTGTATCCACATTGCTACTGTCCCCTTTTATACCACCCTATTCCTTTCTTCATAAGTCTGTTGTGCGACTGTTACCAAACACCTTCTAGAAATTATTCTATGACACACCAACAGCATTACCCTCATCGAGCTTTCTGTTACCTCTTCAAAAAATTACGGGAAGTTGGTTAAACATGATTTCCCCTTTAAAAGTCCATTCTAAGTCATTCTGATCAACCCTACTCTTTACATGTGACTACTAATTTGATTCCTAATAATTGTTTCTATAAGTTTCCCCACCACAGAAGTTAGACTAAATGCTCTGTATTTGCTGGGATTATCCTTACAATCTTCTTGATCAAGGCTGTAATGTTTGGAATTCTCCAGTCTTCTGGCACCTCTCCTGAGCCCAGAGAAGACTGAAACACTATGGTCAGTACCTCCATAATTTTTACCATCTCTCCCTTCAAACTCTTTGGGTGCATCTTCAATCATAGATCATAGAATCCCTACAGTGTGGAAACAGGCCCTTCAGCCCAACAAGTCCATACCAACCCTTGGAGCATCCCACCCAGACCTATCCCCCTATAACCCACGTAAGCTACACATCCCTGAGCACTACAGGCAATTTAGCATGGCCAGTCCACCTAACCTGCATATCTTTGGACTGTGGGAGGAAATCCACACAGACAGAATGTGCAAACTCCACACAAACAGCCACCCAAGGGTGAATCGAACCCAGATCTCTGGCGTCATGGGGCAGCAGTGCTAACCACTTATCTGATCTTATCTGATCTCGGCGCCTTGTCATATTTAGGTGCCAACAACCGATAGAAGACTTCTTCCTTACTAATTTAGAATCCTTCTGGTGACCAAGATACCCCTCCCATTCCAATCAGTATGGCCTGGGTAGCAGCAGCACACTTATTTGTAAAAACAGGTGGAAAGTATTCATTTAACACCCCAGCCATGCCCCGTGCCTCCATGCGTTCAAACCGCCCCAGGACAGGGACAGCACAGGCTTAGATACAGAGAAAATCTCTCTCTACATTGTCCCCATCAAACACTCCCAGGACAGGGGCAGCACTGGGTTAGATACAGAGTAAAGCTCTCTCTACACTGTCCCCATCAAACACTCCCAGGACAGGGACAGCATTTGAAATCATTCTTTACAGTGACGCTCGACAGGATCAATATAATAATGACAATGAAAAACATCGGGAAGCAATGAGGTAAAAAGATACACTCTCTTCAATCACTTTATTCCATCTGAATCCTTTCACATTTCGCACATCAGTAATGTACAGTCACATCACATCAATGGTTTCACATCCACAGAAGTGATCTAAACAGGAATCAATCAAGCAAATGACTTCCTATCCACTGCGCTGTGAAACTGCAAAACACGTCTTCTTTCACTCCTGAAATTTATATCCTGACTATTTAAACTTTTCAAACATCCTACTCTCTGCTACATAACTGAAAAACCCAAAGCCTCCTCTATTTACTCATGCCCTATATCCAAATGAATCAAGCCCCTTTCCCTGTACTTACTATATCACTCATGTACTTGATAATCCAATGGCCCAATCTCATTCTCAACCACACCCATTAACCATAAGATGAATGAGCACATGTAGGCCATTCAGCCCATTGTGTCTCCTTCACCATTTAAGGTCATGTCTGATTTGATAATCCTTAACTGCATTTTCCTGTCTTTTCTCTATAACCCTTGATTCCCTTACTCATTAAAAATCTGTTTCTCTACACCTTGAATATACTTCATGAGCCAGCATTGACAGCCCTCTGAGGTGAAGAATCCCACAGATCCACTTCCCTCTGGAAGAAGAAATTCCTCCTCATCCTCGTCTTACATGGGTAAACCCTTACTCTGAAATGATGCCCTCTGGTCCTAGACTCTGCCACAAGAGGAAACAAACTTGCCCTATTTATCCTGTCAAGTCCACTAAGAATCTTGTACGTTCAAATAAGGTCACCTCTCATTCTTCTAAATTCCAATGAGTACGAGTCCAATCTACTCAATCTCTCCTCATAAGACAGTCCCTCCATTGGGTGTCAGCCTAGCGAACCTTCTCTGGACTGCTTCCAATACCAGTATATCTTTCCTTACAGAAGGGGCCATTTGCCTTTTCCATTTGTCTTCCCTTTCTAGATGCTAAATTTTTGTGATTTATGCAGAAGGATCCCCCAAATCCCTCTGTGCTATAGCTTACTGCAGTCTTTCTCCACTTAAATAATATTCATCTCCTCTAGTCTTCCTGCCAACGTGCACAACCTCATATTTTCCCACATTATATTCCACAACAGAGAAAATTAATCAGCAAAACACTTTCTCATTCACGGTCAAACGTTTCTCCATTCAGTGTGTGCTTACGACCTTCAGCATTTCACTGTCCTCCTTGGAAACAACATTTAAGTTCCACAAAACCACGATACCAATGCACTGCCTTCTTCAATCCCTACAATACCACCAACTCTGCCTCTACCCTTTCAGAACCCAGGATATTGCCAGCTCACTGTTGCCGCAGAGTCCTTCATGTTTGTCCTCCCATCTCATACAGTTCTCCAAATATTTGAGATGCTTCCCACTTGTGGAATTCATTACAGCACCCAGTATTCCAAATGAACTTTGATATCAACAGAATTACCACTTTGCTTTTATATTCTATGTTGCATGAGATTAAGTCTCAATCTCAACTGTTCCATTTTTAAGATTCCAATAACCCGACATCCTGCTATCCATATCCTGCTCCACCCTAGCCATCACCCTCTGTCCTTCCAAAGCCTTCCATGGTAGTCACAAGCACAGGACCATTGTGGTCCTCTTATACTGAATTCCATCTGTCACTATCAAACCCAATTCCCAATCACATACATATCCCCTTCGGTCTTCTGAACATAGCCAAGATAGGATTATGTCCAACACCCTAACAACTGAGTTCTCATTTACTTCAGGCTCCTCTGTAACTGTTCATCATTCTTCACAGAGTCACAGTCTCGCTGCTTGACTCAGAAAATGTCATTAGCATAAACTATTCAGCTAGAGGTCAGTGGTGCTGAACTCACATAAACTGCATGACTTGTGACAGATAATTATCACAGAGAATATTAAAGAACGTTCCTTACAAATCAGTGATGGGGTGAGAGTGTGGGAAGGGGAATAAATGGGGGGTTAGAGTCAGTGATGTGGGAGGGGGGGATTAAATGGGTGGGTAGAGTCAGTGATGACAGGGCAAGAGTGTACACAGGGATGTGGGTGAGGGATTAAATGGGAGGGGGTAAAGTCAGTGATGGGGGGAGAGTGCACCTGGAGGAACACAGCGATTGGGACTTTGCTTATCAGGTGGTTTTCATCGATAAATATACTAATATGATGGCTGACTACATGGGAGAGCGATATCCTGCAGTGGATTAGTGAATATTTAAGCTCAGCCAAAGGGCATACTTCTCCGTTTCCAAACAGCATGTTGGGAGTTGCAGACCTTTATCTCACATGTTGGTCTATCAGACTGCCCAAGCTGTCTTTATGTACATGAATTACAGAGGACCGAACATTCGGGTGAATTCAATTCAGGGACACTTTGGGAGGGTGAGGAACAGGTGTCGACAAGACAGTGCAGACCTGTCACTCGGTTTTTTTGCTAATCTCCAATCTGGGAGGTTGAGGAGGTGGGGACTGGGTTTGGGTGGGTGTACAGAGGGGGTTGGGGAGTGGGACAGGGAGGGGGTGGGAAAATGGGGAATGAGGTTGAGAGGGGTGGGAGTGAAGAGTGGGGTTGAGGGCTGGTGTTGGGAGAAGGTGGCGAGGGGGTAGGGAGGAGCTAGATAATAGGTGAGTATTTGGGGTGGGGAGGATGAACAACAGGCTGTCTGCCAATGGCCCTGTCTTCGTGGTGTTAGATGGCAGGCCGGAGATGTATGGCGGCACTGTTGGGCCGAGCAGCGAGGATGTAGATCACATTTTCCCTCAGGAATGTTTTCCATTCTACACGCCTGTGAACGGAAGCAGAAAAGTTGTCAGAGGACAAAACTGTCAGGGAAACTGCTCAGAGTCGCACTCTGAAACTTATTGGTGTGTTTAGACCCAATTCAAAAGAGTGTCTCGTTTACAACTGTATCCATGGTGACAGAAACCACAGGGTCTTCTCAAGGAAGGTGTCAAACAGAGGACTAGAAAAGATCAGAGATAGTAGGAACTGCAGGTGCTGGAGAATCTGAGATAACAAGGAGATAACAGCAGGCCAAGCAGCATCAGAGGAGCAGGAAGGCTGACGTTTCGGGCCTAGACCCTTCTCCAGAAGAAGGGTGAAGAAGCAGGAAGCCAAGATAGAGAGGACTGAAAGGAAGAATGAGCTGGGGGTTAAGAAAAAGAGAGAGAAAGATGGATATAGAGGGAGACAGAGAAAGAGAAAGAGATGGAGAGAAAGAGAGAGGGGGACAGGAGAATTGGAGAGAGAGATAGAGATCAATTGACTCACAGACAGACAGATAATGAGGTGGAAATAGAGAGGTCAAGATATAAAGAAAGAAAGAGTTTTCAGAACAATATAGAACTGAAAAGACAAACAAATAAAAAAGGACTGAGGGGGCAGACCAGAAGAAGAACTGCTCAGAAAGTAGGAAGCAGAAAGTACAGGAGGCACAGTGGCTCAGTGGTTAGCATTGCTGCCTCACAGCACCAGGAACCTGTGTTCAATTCCACCCTTGGGTGACTGTCTGTGTGGAGTTTGCACATTCTGTCTGTATGGATTTCCTCCCACAGTCCAAAGATATGCAGGTTACATAGATTGGCCATACTAAATTGCCTGGAGAGGCTAGGTAGATTAGCCATGGGAAATACAGGGACAGGGTAGGGTGCTGAGTCTAGTTGGAATGGTCTTTGGAGGGTCTGTGCAGACTCAATGGCCTGATTCTATTATCAGAAGGGAAGGTTTTTTTTAAGTAGTTAGCCAGGAGTGGGGTCCATAGGATAATATGTTTTATAACAGACACCCGGGAGTAAATTACAGACTGGAATCTAATTGAGGGGTTCAGGTGGTTTTTATATAGAATAACAGATACCTGGGAGTGAGTTACAGATTGGATGATTCCTAGATGGGTGCTTTTTTTTTGCTGAAAGTATTATTTGTTTCCTCCTGCCTCTAAGGAGGATTCTGTTGTTGTCACTCAGTGGTTGGGTTGCCCTGTGCAGTAGCTTTGTTTCAGGGACAGTATCTCGGCACTGACCTGTTGTCCTCCTGCTCCCGACTGAGAAGGGTCTTCTCCTGTGGCCTCCCACGCCCTCGGCTGGCAGGGCTGCTTTCAGAGATGGGCCCAACGTGACTGACGCTGTCAACGAGAAACAGATGAGTTGTTTCCATTCTGACATTAACACTGGCAGTGACAGGAATCAACACAAGAATAGGTGGAGGCCATCCAGTCCCTCGACTTAGTGCCGTCATTCAATAAGCTTATTGCTTCTTTTTAACATCAACCTGCGCAGAGATATCATTCTCACACCTCTGGAGCAAGTGGGACTTGAACCTGGGCCTCCTCGTTCAGAGATAAGGGAACAAGAACCCTTAATCTGCATCTAAACTTTATTCGCCTGCCTCAATATTTTTATCCAGCAAAATTTGCCTTGAAAGCTCCAATTAGCCCAGTCTTAACAGCTTTCTGGAGGACACTTAGGTTTCCAGTACCCTTTGAATGAAGAATTGCTTCAATGATAACACCCTGAACAGGCTAGGTCTAATATAAACAGCCAGTGCTGGAGATACCAGCAGGTCTGGCAGGCTCTGTGAAGAGTCGGACAAAGTCAACTTTTAAAATCCAATACTATTCCAGTAAAGGAGAAGTAATCAAAACACGATGGCTCAGTGGTTAGCGCAGCTGCCTCACAGCACCAGGGACTGTGTTTGATTTCAGCCTGGGTAATGTCTCTATGGAGTTTGTACATTCTCACTGTGTCTGCATGGTTTTCCTCCAGGTGCTCTGCTTTCCTTCCACAGTCCAAAGATGTGCATGTTAGGTAGGTTCGCCATGCTAGTGTCCAGGGATATTTAGGCTAGGTGGATTAGCTTGTTAATGTGGAATTATGTGTGTAGGGTAGGGAGCTGGGGTCTGGGTGGGATGCTCTTCTGAAGGACAGAGCAGACTCCATCTCTTTCAGTACTTTAAGGATTCTATGAAAATAGAAGACAGTGTTCATGGTCTGATTGCCTTCATCAGCCGTAATCTTATTGAATAGCAGAGCAGATTCAAGGGACTAAGTGACCTATTCATGCTCCTGACTCATAAGTTTGTATGTTCTTCTAAAGGAAATAGAAGCCTGTTCTATACAACTTATGCTTACAATTTATACTTTCAGCTTTGTAATAATTCTAATGAATCTGCCCCGCACTCTCTCCCAGGCTAAAATACTCTTCAAACAATGCCCAGAATTGAACACAGCTATTTGAGATAGGAGCTGTACCAAAGCATCATTAAACTACGATCTAAATTTCTTTCCTATTTATTTCAGGCCCATTGAAAACTTTCCTTTTCTCTTTCTTTGCAGAAAATGCATGTCTATAAAAGTTCAGACTGTTGTCTGGTTGGAGGGCTAAATTCCACTGGATGAAAAGAAAAGCTTTTTTTTTGAGTTTTTCCAAATGTGAGGTTTTAGGCAACACTTATGTTTCAGACTGCTGATATAAATTCACGGTAGAAATATGCAATGAAGAGGATCTTTCCAGTGATAAGCTGAAGTGACCAGGTACAATTAAATGCTATTGAATTCCATGGGTAAGACTTAGCATCTGGAAACAAAGAACAGAGAATTTGGCTTTGCTGTAGGTGAAGTTATAAACACACACAGTCTGATTTGTAAAAGAAAAACCCAAAAACCAGAGAGACAGGGTGAGACAAAGACAAAGACAAAAGTTGCTGGGGTTAAAGGGATGTTGCTATTTCCCTGCTAGCTACCAGACAGAATGTGACTGAGATGCTATTCTCTGGTTTAAGAGAAATTTTTTAAAAACTGGATGATTTATCCTGGTGTGGCCAAGGATAAGAGTCGGCAGAGTGGATCTTTTTGTTAGAAGTTGTTGGGGAATTATCAGAAGGGAAAGGGGAATTGGTCCTAGTGAGTTTAAGATGAAAAGATTAGGTAAGATGAAAACCGAAAGAACTGCTGAATGCTGTGAATCAGAAACAAAAACAGAAGTTGCTGGAAAAGTTCAGCAGGTCTAGCAGCATCTGTGAAGCGAAATCAGAGTTAACGTTTCGGGTTTGGTGACCCTTCCTCAGAACTGATGGTAGCTAGGAAAGTGCCAGTTTATATGCAGAAGATAGATTGGGGGGAGGGGCTAAGGAGCAAATGATAGGTGGGGCAAAACCCAAAGAGAAAGAACAGCTGGACAGATAAAGGAGTAGATGACGATCTAGCTAGGAGGGTGAATAGCTATTAATGGAGATTGTTAGTGACTAACAATAGATAGTGTGTAATGGCAGGCTATCTGATAATAAGGCCTAGTGTGTGCAGTAGAAGACTGGGACACGAGAGAGTTCAGATCCTAAAATTATTGAACTCGATATTGAGTCTGGAGGTCTGCAGGCTGCCCAATCGGAATATGAGGTGTTGTTCTTCCAGGTTACACCGGGTTTTGCTGGAACACTGGAGCAGGCCTGAGACAAAGATGTTGGCCAGGGAACAGGGTGGTGTGTTAAAGTGGCAGGCAACTAGAAACCCAGGGTCTTTCTTGTGGGCAGTGGTCACCCAACTACACTTCATTTCTCCAATGCAGAAGAGAACAAATTGTGAACAGCGAATGCAATAGACTAGATTGTGTGAAGTGCAGGTGAAGTGCTGCTTCACCTGGAAGGTGTGTACACTGAGCATTCTCCCAGTTCTTCCGTCGCCACTGTATATGTTCCCGTGAAGCCAACTTCGACAAGGGAGCCTCTGGAATGTCCACCTTCTTCCTCAACCAAGGATTCCCCAGCACCGTTGATGACAGGGCCCTCAACCGGGTCTGACCCATCTCCCGTACTTCCGCCCTCACCCCCTCGCTTCCCTTCCGCAACAGCAATAGGGTTCCCCTTGTCCTTACCTACCATTCCTTCAGCATCCACATCCAGAAGATCATCTGCCGCCATTTCTGCCACCTCCAGTGAGATGCCACCACCAGACACATATTCTCCTCAGCTCCCTTATCTGCCTACCACAGGGACTGCTTCCACCGGGATCCCCTGGTCCGCTCTTCTTTCAATCCCAACATCCCCTCACAGTCCCACGGCACCTTCCCCTGCAAGCACAGAAGGTGTAACACCTGCCCATTTACCTCCTCTCCCCTCAGTATCCAAGGGCCCAAACTTACCTTCCAGGTGAAGCAACCCTTCACCTGTACTTCACACAATCTAGTCTACTGCATTCACCAGATCGTTATCTACTCCTTTGTCCAACAGTTCTCTTTATTTGGGCTCTATCTCCACCTATCATTTACACCTTACCCCCTCCCCCACCCTATCTTCTGCCTATAAACTGACATTGGTCACCTGACCAAAACATTAACTTTGATTTTTCTTCACAGATGCTGCTAGACCTGCTGAGTTTTTCCAGCAACTTCTGTTTTTGTTTAGGCAAGATGACCATCTTTTAAGCAAGGTTCAAAGATGGGAATATTAATAAGGGTTTTGCTTGACTGGGGGACAGTGTTAGTCAGCAAGCCCAGGGGGTGATAGGGAAGTGGGACCTGTACCAAATTTAAGACACAGTGTTAGATGACTGTACATTTATGGAAGTTAGAATGCGGGAGATGGGCCAAGAATGTGTTGGAATAGTCAGCTCTAGAGGTTATGAAGGCACAGATGAGGGCTTCAGTAGCAGAAGAGCTGGGGTAGGTAGTCAGTTTTAGTGATAGCCCAAATATGAGGTCAGAAGGTATCTCAGGATCAAAGGTGATGCCAAAGTGGTGATCGTTTAATTGCACACAGCTGCCAGGGTGAGAGCTGGAGTGGGCAGTTAGGGAGCATATTTCAGAGCGAGGGGTGAAAACAATGGCTTCAGTTTCACCAATATTTATTGGAGGGAATTTCTGCTCATCCAGTACTCGATGTCGGATACAGAGTCTGATAATTTAATGACAGTGGAGGAGCTGAGAATGGTGATGATCAGGTAGAGCGGAGTATCTTCAGGGTCAGTGTGAAAATTAATGCTGTGCTTTTCAGATGAAGTCACTGTGGGGGAGTGTGTAGATGGCAGAAAATTAGAGCATGACTGTGTTGCTAAGTCCCTCATGTCATTGATAAAATCACAGTGAAGTGGCAGCTTAATTAGACATAATTATTCCTTGTGATTATTATGATAAATAAGCAAATTAGAAAGGCAGGTAAATTGTGCTAAACAATTACAGACACTTCAGCACTGAAGTTGATTCCTGGGATGGCAGAACTGACATATGAAGAGAGACTGCACCTATATTCACTGGAATTTAACAAAAAATGAAGGGGGAATTTCAGAGAAACCTATAAAATTCCAAAAGCACCAAAAGCACCAATTCCAATAAGTGGATAACTGTGAGAAGGGGGACAGTGAACGCAAGATTGAGAATATTGAACTTGAATGCACATAGTATACAAAATAAGGTAAATAAGCTTGTAGCACAGATTGAAATTGGCAGGTACGATGTTGTGGGTGTCACAGAGATGTGGCAGCTGGGAAGTAAATATCCAAGGATAAACGGCCTGTCAAAAGGGCAGGCACATAGGCAGAGGGAGTGGGGTTGCCTTGTTTGTTGAAATGAAATTAAGGTTGTAGACATGCTTGCCGAGCCAGTGGGCTTGGTTGCAAACATTTTGTCACCCTGCTAAGTAACATCGTCAGTGCGCCTCCGGTGAAGCGTTGGTATTCTGTCCTGTTTGTTATTTACATGCCTCGGTTTGCTGGGGTGATTGGTATTACTTCTGGTTTTGTTTCTCAGTGGTTTGTACACAGGGTCTAATTCAATTTACAAGCCAAACAGAGACACGCCAGGGAATTCCTGGAGGCCTGGTACTCCAACCAGAGCTCCATCAACAAACATGTTGAATTACAGCCTGTGTACAAACCACTGAGAAACAAAATTGAAAGTAATACCAACCACTCTAGCAAACTGAGGCGTATAAATAACAAGCGGGACAGAACACTGACGCTTCACTAGAGGCGCACTGACGATGTTACCTAGCAGGGTGACAAAACGTTTGCCACCAAACCCACCGGCTCGGCAAGCATGTCTACAACCTTAATTTCATTTCAACAAACAAGGCAACCCCACTCCCTCTGCCTATGTGCCTGCCCTTTTGACAGGCCATTTATCCTTGGATATTTACTTCCCAGCCCTGATCCCCTTGCAGCCACATCTCTGTGACACCCACAACATTGTATCTGCCAATTTCAATCTGTGCTACAAGCTTATTTACCTTATTTTGTATACTATGTGCATTCAAGTTCAATATTCTCAATCTTGCGTTCACTGCCCTCCTTCTAACAGTTATCCGCTTATCTGTCTTCTCTGCCCGCTCTCCATAAACCTTTAACCCGTTACTCATTAAAAATCTATCTCCTCCTTAAGTTACTCAATGTCCCAGCATTCACACACTCTAGGGTAATGAATTCCACAGATTGACGAGCCTTTGAGAGAAGTAATTTCTTATCATCTCTGTTTTAAATCAGCTCACCCTTAACCTAAAACTATGACCCTTGTTCTAGATTGCCCCACAAGATGAAACACGCTCTCTACGTCTAATTTGTCAATCCCTTTGCATCTCATATACCTCAGTTAGATCTCCTTTCGTTCTTCTAAACTGCAGAAAGTATAGGTCTTAACTGCATTATATATTACATCAAACATATTCGAGGCTGAGATAGGCAGATTACTAATCAGGAAGGGAATCTAGGCCCAAAGGGAAAAGGCAGGAAAGTGGAGTTGAGGATTATCAGACTAACATGATCTCATTGAGTGGTGGAGAGAGGGTGATGGGCTGAATGGTCTACTTTGTCTCCAATATCTTATGGTCGTGTATCAGCTTTTTACTCCAAATATGTTTAATTAATTGAGTTTAAATTCTCCACATGTAGTGGTAGGACTGCAGCCTGGGTGTCTGGATCATGACTACAGTTCTCTAATCACTTTGCCACATACCTTATATAGGTTTATAAAGTTATGAGGGGCATAGATAAGGTGAATAGCAAAAGTCTTTTCCCTAGATTTGAGAGTTCAAAACTAGAGGGTACCTCTATTAAAGCTGCACCTTCATAAAATCAGTCATAGAGTCATACAGCATGGAAACAGACCCTTCAGTCCAACTCATCCATGCCAACCAGAGATCCTAAATTAATCTACTCCCATTTGCCAGCATTTGGCCCATATCCCTCTAAACCCTTCCTATTCCCATACCCATCCAGATGCCTTTTAAACATTGTAATTGTACCAGTTCCTTTGGCAGCTCATTCCATATATGGACCACCCTCTGCGTGAAAAGGTTGCTCCTTAGCTCCCTTTTAAATCTTTCCCCTCTCACCTTAAACCTATGCCTCCTAGCTTTAGACTCCCCTACTCTGGAGAAAAGACCTTGGCCGTTCACCCTATCCATGCCGCTCATCACTTTATAAATTTCTATAAGGTCACCTCTCAGCCTCCAACTCTTATTCTCACCTGACATTGCAGGATTGCGACTCCTTGGAATTTTTGCAGAACCAAGAATTCTGTGCTCTCCTACACTCAGTCCCAGTGATTAAGCCAGTTTGGTTCTGATCCAGGCTCAGGAAGCAGCTCCGAGCTCGTCCATGCTCCTTGGCTGTCAGCAGTCTCAGCAATGAGTTCTGGAGGAAAAGCAGAAAAAGCCAGGTCAAGCCTGTGAGGTATCGGAGATTCGCCAACTCTGATGGAGATGAGCTCATAACAAAATACTTTTGATATAATGCTCCCTATAGGAAGGACGTGATTGCACTGGAGATGGTGCAGAAGTGATGTAGCAGGACTTTGACTGGGCTGGAGCAATTTAGCTCTGAAGAGAGACGGGATAAGACTGGGGTTGTTTTCCTCAGAGCAAAGAAGGCTGAGTTGGGGGGGCAGGGATCTGATTGAGGTGTACACAGGTCTGAGGGAAATAGATGGGGTAGATTGGGAGAAGCAATGGCCTTGTGGTATTATTGCTTGACTATTAAAACAGATACAGGTTCAAATCCTGCCATGGCAGGTGGTGGAATTTGAATTCAATACAAAAAATCTGAAATTAAGAATCTACTGATTACCATGAAGCCATTGCTGATTGTCGGAAAAACCCATCTAGTTCACTGATGTTCTCTAGGGAAGGAAATTTGTCATCCTCACCTGGTCTGGCCTACAAGTGACTCTAGTCCCGCAGCAATGTGGTTGACTCTCAACTGTCTTCTGAAGTGGCTGAACAAGACACTCAATTGTATCAATGGCTACAAAGTCTCAACAAAGACAGCATGCAGACTGCAGTCTTTCAAGAAGGTAGCTCACCGCCACCTTCTCAAGGGCAACTAGGGATAGATAATAAATGCTGGCCCAGCCAGTGACACCCACATCTCATGGGTGAATGAAAAAAATGAAAGAAACCCTCCCCTTTAGAAGAGAGCTCCATAACCAGGAGCACAGATTTAAGGTAAGGAGCAGGAAGTTTACAGGACTTTTAAGGAAGCATTTTTTTCACCCAGAGGCTGGTGGGTGTCTGAAGCTCACTGCCTAAAAGGGCCCTAGAAGTGAGAACTATAAAGACATTTAATAAACATTTAATGAACATTTGAAATGCCAGAGCATGCCAGGTTTCAGACCAAGTGCTGGAAAATGGGTCGAGAGGAGATAGGTGCTTGATAAATGTCATGGGCACAATGGGCCGAAGGGTCTCTTTCTACGCTGTAATATCTCTATGACAAACACCCTATGAATGGGCAAAAGTCAAGTTGAGGACATCAAAAAAGCACAAGAAGTTTTGGAGAGAATGAGGCAAATCAAAAATAGTAGTAGATGAAGAGGTGTAGAGCTGGATGAATACAGCAGGCCAAGCAGCATCAGAGGAGCAGAAAGGCTGACGTTTCGGGCCTAGACCCTTCTTCAGACCTTGTTATCTCAGATTCTCCAGCATCTGCAGTTCCTACTATCTCTATTAGTAGATGAATCTCCCTCAACAATACCCATTAAATTTCCTCTTCCACACCTTACACATTCTCCCACATCATATCACATCCCACATGCTCGTCCACATCCTCCACAATCACCTCCACCCCCTCACTCACACCATCCACAACCCCCATGTCTCCAACCCCCAAATCCTCCACACCTTTAAATTTCTCCACATCGTTTGCACCCACATCCCTACAACATCCTCTGCACCCATGTCCCCCCCAATGACTTCTGCACCCATATCCACCCCACAACCATATCCCTCCCACATCTTCCACACCCATATTCCCCCATACTCATAGCCCCTCCACATCCTCTGCATCAGATCCCTCCCACATCCTCCACACCCATATCCCTCCCGTATCCTTCACATATCCACCATACACATATCCCTCCCACATCCTCCACACCCATATACCCCTCCCAAGATTCTCCACAATCCATATCCCCAACATCCTCCACATCCATACATACGCACACCTACATCCTCAACATTTACAACTCCTCTCCCACACCCTCACTCACATCCTTCTCCCCCACACACCATGAAAATCCAACACAGACCCACCTCAGACCGGAATCTCTGCAGCACCAGTAATGACTCGTGATACAAGAAATCTGTCCACTCCACCTGGCCCTTCTTATCACCATCCAGAGCAGAAAACTGCAACACAACTAATTCCTCCTTCTCCTCGTTCATCTGTTCATCGAAGATCTGCTTGTGAATGTAGTGTTTGTAATGCAGAAAATCATCTAGTGTCAGGCAGGACTCTGAAAAAGCATATATCAGCAGTTTAGCAACTCACTGGACACAAGACATTCATTTCACCGCTACTGTTCACTCCCTTCAACATACACAACGGTTGGTTATTCTTTATCTATAGGATGCAGGCTTCACTGATCGGGCCAGCATTTATTGCCTGTCCCTAGTTGCCCTTGAGAAAGTAGTGGTAAGCTGTTTTCTTGAACCGCTGCAGTCCATGTGCTGCAGGTTGACCTACAATGCCTTTAGTGAGGAAATTCCAAAATTTTGACCCAAGAACAGCGATATATTTCCGAACCACAAAAGGCAACATGGAGTTACACACTGGTCTCCCAGGAACTGACACTAAGACACACACAGACAGTACAGCAGCTGACACTGAGCCAGCATAGACCCAGCAATGATGAAGAAAGAGATATATGTCCAAGTCAGGACAGCAACTGGCTTGGAGCGGACTTATAGGTGGTCGTGTTCCTATGTATCTGCTGTGCCACTATCATCTAGAAGGCCAAAATCCTGGAATTCCTTCTCTAAAGGCATTGTGGGTCTATTTACAGCACATGGTCTATAGTGGTTCAAGAAGACAGCACCCCATCACCTTCTCAAGTGCAACTAGGGATGGGCCATAAATGCTGGCCCATCCATTGACACCCACATCCCATGAATGAATTACAAAGAACCCATCACCCTCCCTTCCTATAAAGTACATAGGGGCTCTTAATTCCTAATATATAAACAGAGACTGCTATTCTCTATATTTTATACAGGGGCTATTGCTCTCTATAATATACCTCAGAACGGTTAGTCCCCATATATACACAGGGGCTGCTATTCTCAATAGTATGCACAGCAGCTGTTACTCTATGTAACATACACAAGGGCTGTTCTTCAAATAAACCTGTTGGACAGCAACCTGGTGTCGTGTGATTTTTGACCTTGTCCACCCCAGTCCAACACCGGCACCTCCACAACATAGGGGCTGTTATGCCCTATAATAGGGGAGGGGCTGTTACTCCCTATGGCATACACAGGGGCTGTTACTCCCTATAGTATAGACAGTTATTCCATCAAATTCCCTCCCAATGACATTGTGGGTCAACCCACAGCAGGTGGACACAACAGTTTAAGAAGGCAGCTCACTACCACCTTCTCAAGGGCAACTAGGGACGGGCAATAACTGCTGGCCCAGGCAGTGTCACTCTTATCTCACGAATGAAAAAATATACTCTGGCGCTGTTACCACCTAATATATAAACAGGGGCTGTTAGTCCCTTGAACATACACAGAGGGGGTGTTACTCCCTATTATATGGACAGTCAATATATCAAGCATACACTGGGGCTGCTACCCTCTGAATTCTAAAAAGGCGCAACTATTCAGTGTAATACACACTGACTGTTATTCTACATAATACAGACAGAGGCTGCTATTCTCTACAACATACACAACAGCTGCAATTCTCTGAAGTACACACAGGGGCTAATATTCTTTATAATATAGACAGGTTTGCTATACTAGTTAATATTTACAGGGACTGTTTGCTGCTTTGTGTCTCAATGCCTGTACGTCAGTGTGCCGTTAAAGGACATGCTCATGTTAACACCACAGTACCACCGCTTGTAACCTCAGGGAATAAAAGTCCCATACTTCATCTAACCTCTTAATGCATGACACTTTAGTGGAAACATGCCGCTCTGTTGTAACATAATAGTTTAATATTAGCCCAGATAGTCATGTGCCTTAAGAATGTAATGCTTGTACTTGGTGGTTAATTGTAATATCCAAGCCCAGCTTCTTCTGTTACAGGAGATAACATAAACATTACTGCTTCAGACAAAATACATTGCTGAAGGCAAACTCATCACTGCCATTCTCCACAGTTGGAAAGTTTGAGCTATAGAGAGAGGCTGAATAGGCTGGGGCTATTTCCTTGGAGCGTTCAAGGCTGTGGGGTGACCTCATATAGAGGTTTATAAATTACAAGGGGGACATGGATAAGGTAAATAGACAAGGTCTTTTCTGGGGGATGGGGAGTCCAAAACTAGAGAGCATAGGTTTAAGGTGACAGGAGAAAGGTTTAAAAGGGACCTAAGGGGCAACATTTTCACGCAGAGGATGGTGCATGTATGCAATGAGCTGCTTTAGGAAGTGGTGGAGGCAGGTACAATTACAACATTTAAAAGGCATCTGGATAGGCATATGAATAGGAAGAGTTTAGAGGGATGTGGGCCAAGTGCTGGCAAATGGGACTAGACTTAGTTAGGGCATCAGGTCAGCATGGATGAGTTGGACCAAAGGGTCTGTTGCCATGCTGTTAATCTCTATGACTCTATAATATGCACAAAGGCTATTCTTTCCCACATTATGTACAGAGCAGTCATTCTCTATTATATACATTGTGTCTACTGTCCGATAAAAATGCACAGCTAGGGCTCTTATGATGCGGTGGCAGTGTCTGAGCTGGGGGGCTACGTGTAACACCTGCTTCAAAGGTGCATAATAACAGGTTGATTAGAAAATATCCAGACAGGGGCTGCTGTTCCTGTAGTGTACATGGAGGTTGTTATTCTCGATAATATACAAAGGGGCTGATATTCTCTGAAATATTCACAGCGGCTGCTATTCTCTATAACAAATGCAGGAGCTGCTATAATATATAGAATAGCTAGTAATTTCTATTACATCCATAGGGTTCTAGTGTTTCTGTAATATAAACAGGAAAGGAGCTGTTGTTCTCCATAATATACAGACAGGGCAGTCAGCCTATACATTCTACAGAGCTGTTTGTCTTTATCAATTGATAGGATGTGTATGTGGCTGGCCTATCCAGCAAGTATTGCCAATCCCTAATGGCCCTTGAGAAGATGCTGGTAAACCACCTTCTTAAATGCAACTGAGCAGCTCACACGGCCTTTTCAGAGGGTAGTTAAGAATTAACCATGTTGCTGTGAGTCCACATTTCCTTCCTGAAGGACATTAATGAACCAGAAGGGTTTTTTTGCAATTATCAATGACAGTTTCATGGTCACCATCAACATATAATCAGGAGACTTGGGGTTGAGGAACCTGTCCACAAGGCACTGACCACACTCCTTTCGCTTTTCATCTGGAGTCACCTCATAGTCAGCCATGGCATCTAGAAACTGCACACAGTGACATAACTCTGATCGGGTCTCACACAACTGGCGGAACAGTAGCCTCCCAATAGGCTGTTCATCACAAAGACTCTTATAGTCCTTCTCAATCGTCTGTCTCAGCTCTTCACACAAGCTGATATGGGGAAACTGCAGCATCTGACACCATTTCTTGCTCTTTCCTTTCCATCTCCAGAGTTATTTATTTATTGAATTTAAATTCCACCCAGAAGCCATGGTGAGATTTGAACTAAAATCCCCAGAACACTAGCCTGGACCTCTGGAATACTTGTCCCGTGAGATTAGAAAACCAGAAGGGATTTTATGTCAATCCTGTAGTTTCGCAGTCACCATTACTGACATCAGTTTTTTAATCCAAACTTGTTTAAAATGTAAATTTTATTTTCAATTCCAAAGCTACCATGACAGGATTAATCCTCACATCTCAGGGACACTTTGCCTCGACATTTGATTTATAAAGGTACCGCAATGATATAGAAACAGAAACTGAGAAAATAGGAGCATGATCGGCCATTCAGCCCTTCAAGCCTGTTCCGCCATTCAGTTTGATCATGACTCATCATCCAACTAAGTCCCTTCTTTCCACTTTCTCCCCATATTTAAGGCTTGAGGGGACAATCAAGATTGTCTTTCTCAGTGTTGAGAATCTGAGTTTTTCACTCTCCTCATAATTCCCTACCTTTGTCGCTATCACCTTCAGCACAGCAGGGAAGGGAAAATTCCACCCACAATCTTAACCACTGAATTATCTCATTCAAGGTTAAAAAATCAGGATGCAAACTTTCACAGCAGGAGAAGATGCTTCCCTTTGTGGTGGGGAGCCAAAGCTCAGGACCAGAAATATAAGACAGAAATATAGGGACAGCCGACTTACAAATGTCCAACTTATAAATGTCCAATTTACAAACACTCGTACTTGTGGGCATGATCCCATACAGGGTTGTCATTTTAAAGACCTGACATATGAACTGTTCCTGTGCTTACAAACAGCTGCTTTACATTGTCCTGCATTGTTTTCCAACTTGCATACAAACTGACTTGTGAACGGACTTCAGAACGGAACCCGTTCACAACTCAGAGACCGCTTGTAAATTGATAAATCCAAGAGGGATTGCAGGAGAAATTGTCTTTATTCAGAGGGTGGTGAGGATGTGGTACTAGCTATCACATTCAGAGAGAAGTTGAGGTGGACAGTTTAGGTACATCAAAGGCAAAGACTGATAAATATAAGAACTGTAGGAACAGAAAGATGTGCTGAGGGGACAAGCTAAAGTAGGATGAGAGAAGGCTTGTGGGGATCAGAAAGACTGGTCAAACAGCCTGGATCCAGGCTCTAACTTCTATGGAATTCTAAGCTAAACGTGCTGTGGACCCCAAACCAGATGGTCAAGTATGAATCCAGTGGTAATTCCTTTCCTCGATTGCAAGTTTATTTACAGAATGCAGTACCAGATACCTCTACCTCCTATCTACCTTCCCCACTACCAAAGTTAAATTGACTCGTCTGACATCGATGCCTAGAGTGTTCCAGCAGTCCCCTTTTACATGTGCGCAAGATAATTTGTCAAATGATACACCTCATTTTATCCTGAACCATAACTAGCACATTTGATATAACATTAAAGGTTGGTGTTGTAGTCAAGACTTATCTTGTTTTCATCCGAGTGTAGTGTTGGAATGACCGAATTGCCAAATTATTTCAAATCAAAGCTCTGTTTGAGAATACAGTATAACTCAGTGATGTTGACAGATGTCAATATTTGGACTGACCTGGGATGATCCTGCATTGTCGGAAAACTTCCTTCAAACTAAACATCTCCTCATCAGTCAGCAGCAGGTTCACATTATCCTAAAAGAGACAGAGAGGTGAGAGAGAAAGAGAGAGAGAAAAAGAAAGAGGGAGGGAGAGGGTCAGAGAGAGAGGGAGAGGTGGGGGAGGGGGAGAAAAGGGGGGAGAGAGAGAGGGGGGAGGGAGAGAGAGGGAGAGGGAAGGAGGAAGAAGGAAGGGGGGGGGGGAAGGGAAGGAGAAGGAAGAGATTGAGAGAGGGAGGGAGGGAAAGGGAGGAGATCAAGAGAGGGAGGGAGGGAGAGAGAGGCAAAGAGAGAGAGAGACACAGGCAGGACAGACAGAGAGAGAGACAGAGAGAGGGACAGAGTCAGGACATTGTTGAAATTGAGGGTGTGTTTCAGCCTACAGTTAGATTACCTCACATAGTGCCAGCTGTAAAGAAACCATTATCATCATAATACTCCCAGAGAAAATATAGACACCTTTTTAAAACATTCGCACAGTCAGTGTGAGCATCGCTGGATAGGCCAGCATTTACTGCCTGTCCCTCGTTGCCCTTTGAGAAGGTGGTGGTGAGTTGCCTTCTTAAACCACTGCAGTCCACGTGCAGCAAGATGACCCACAATGTTGTTAGGGAGGACATGAACTGCAGTGAAATTCCAGCAGACTTCCAGGATTTTGACTAACAGAAGGAGACTAACTAAGGAAAGTGAGCACAGATTAGTTCAGAGTGAATCGCGTTTAACTAACTCGTTTGAGTTTCCTGAAGAGGTAACAGAGAGGGTTAATGTGGGTAATATGATTGACGTGGTGTATGTGAGCTTCCAGAAAGTTTTGATGAACTGCCATTGAAACAATGCTCGAGCTCATAGTCGCAACACAGATACAAAATTGACTGATTGACAGGAAACAGAGCAAGGCTTGTAATGGAGTTCCTCAAAGGGCGATGTTTGAACCCTTACTTTTCTGATAAATATTAACAAGCTAGATATTGGCATACGGGGCAAAATTTTAAAATTTGCAGATGGCACGAATGTAAGAACTATGAGCAGTAGTAAGCCATTCAGCCCCTCCAGCCTCCTTTGCTATTCATACGATCATGACTGATCCCATCTTGGTCTCAGCTCCATTCTCCTGATCAGAAATACTCCTTCATGCAAAAGGTGATAGAACATAGAGCCATCACAGGGAGTGACTGAAGCAAGTGGTCTCGAAGCATTTCAAGTGAAAGTTGAACAAGCAGTTGAGGGAGAAGGGAATATGGGTTGTGATGGTACAAAGAGGACACAAAAGTAAGTGGGAAAGCAAGTGATAAGGATGATACTGAATATGCAGACGGATAGAGACAGATTAAGTGAATGGGCAAAAGCCTGGCAGATGGGAATGTAAGGTGGGAAAATGTAACATTATGTACTTGGCAGGAAGAATAGAAGAGCTGAATTTTATTTAAATGTAGAAAGCTAGAGGGATTTAGGGGTCCTGTCCATAAATCACAAAATGCTAGCATCGAAATTCAGCAGGTAATAGGGAAGGCACAAAAACAAAGTTGCTGGAAAATCTCAGCAGGTCAGGCAGCATCTGTGAAGGAAAAAACAGAATTAACATTTCGGATCTGGTGAACCTTCCTCAGAACTGATGGTGCTGGGAAAACATCAGTTTATATGCAGAAAAAAAGGGGAGGGGAATGGGGTGGAGTAAACGATAGGACAGAGCCTAAAGAGAGAGAAGAGCGTTAGACAGACAAAGAGGTGAATAGTTATTAATGGGGACTGTTAGTGACTAACAATAGGTAGTGTGTAATGGCAGGCTATGTGGTAACAAGGCCTGGTGTGTGGGGTAGGGGGCTGAGACATGGGAGAGTTTAGGCCTTAAAATTATTGAACTCGATATTGAGTCCGGAGGGCTGCAGAGTCCTCAAGCGGAAAATGAGGTGTTGTTCTTCCAGCTTGCATTGAGCTTCACTGGAACACTGCAGCAAGCCAGAAACGGATGTTGGCCAGTGAAGAGGGTGGTGTGTTAAAGTGGCAGGCAACAGGTAGTTCAGGGGCTTTTTGCGAGCAGAATGTAGATGTTCCGCAAAGCAGTCACCCAGTCTACGCTTCGTTTCCCCAATGTAGAGACCACATTGTGAGCAGCAATTGCAGTAGACTAGATTCTGGGAAGTGCAGGTGAAGTGTTGCTTCACCTGGAAGGTATGTTTGGGCCCTTGGATAATGGGGAGTGAGGAGGTAAATGGGCAGGCGTTGCACCTTTGCCGGTTACAGGGGAAGGTGCCGTAGGGCTGTGGGGGTGTGTTGGGGGTAAAGGAAGTATGGACCAGGGTGTCCCGGAGGGAACGGTCCCTGTGAAAGATGGACATGGGAGGGGAGGGGAATATGTATCTGGTGATGGCACCTTGTTGGAGGTAGCGGAAATGGCATCTCTTGAAGGGAAGGCAAATGGATTGTTGGCCTTTAGCTCAAAGGGAATAGAGAATAAAAGTAGGAAAGTCTTGCAAAATCTATAAAGGTACTAGTCAGACCACACCCAGAATATTGCGAACAGTTTTGTGTCCTTCGTCTAAGAAAAGATATGCAAAAAGATGTATAAAGAAAAGATATACTGACACGGGAGGTAGACCAGAGAAAGTTGATCACAGGGATGGAAGGACTGTCTTATGAGGAAAGGTTGAGTAGGTTTGACTGATACTGATTGGAATTTAGAAGAATGAGAGTCAATTTTATTGAAACATATGAGATTCTTAGGGTAGATATGGAAAGGCTGTTTCCCCTTGTGCAAGAGTCTAAGACCCGAGGGCATAATCTCATAATAAGGATCACACATTTAAGACAGAAATGAGGAGAAATGTCTTCTCTCTCTCGGAGGATTAGTAATCTTTGGAATTCTTTACCACAGAGGGCTGTCAAGGTTGGATCATTAAGTATATTCAAGGCTGAGATAGACAGAATTTTAATTAATAAGGGAGCCAAGGGAAAAAAGCAGGAAAGTGGAGTTGAAGATTATCCCAGCCCAGGGAGATGACTGGTGGTGGTTTAACCAGAGGGTCACCATTCCTCAGGCCAGGGGAGAGAATGAGAAGGTGAGTCCTTCATGGTAACTTCAGCTGGTGCGGGAATTGAACCCACTCTGTTGGCATCATTCTTCATCATAAACCAACCATCCAGCTCAATATGGGAATATCTGCAGTAATTGTGGGATATAGGAATGTGTACAGTAATGGCAAGATATAGGGATGGGACCTGTAATTGTAGGATATGGGAATGTTTGCAGTAATTGTAGGATATGGAATGTGTGCAGTAATTGTCAGACTTAGGAATGTGATCAGTTATTGATGGATATGGAAATTTATTCCATGTTTGTGGAATCATCTGTAAACTTTGCAATGGTGCTCTGCATACCTCCATTTGGTCATTAAGATATATCAAGGAAAGTAGAGAGTCCATTACCACCCCTGGGAAACCCAATTGCTCACTTCCACCCAGGCTGAGATAGACCATTCACTGCTTCTCTAGCCCAGGGTCTAGCAAGATTATAGTGACTTTACAATTATTGATCGTATTCCCATATCGTACAATTAATGATCACATTCCCATATTCTACAATTACTGCACACATTCCGATATGCTCAATTACTGATCACATTCCCATATCCTACAATTACTAATTGCATTCCAATATTTTATAGTTACTAATCACATTGTCACATCCACCAGACAGACCCATAGACACTCCCAGGGAGTGTTACTCCATGGTGTGCGATAGATTCCAATCTGCAATGCTAACACCTCTCACCGTAAACAGAACAGGATCCTGTTGGATATCAGAGTCCCTATTCCCATTAGCTAGGGCTGAATAGACCTTTGAACTTGAGTTAGAATGAAGAATGATGCAGTAATGATCAACGAATTGGATAGTCAGAGATCTCAGGAGGACCCAGTGACAGGCATATTAGACAGAAACACGGCACATGGAATTTAACACAGGGAGTGATGGATTTTGGTAGAAAAATGAGTAGCAGCAATATAAAATAAATAACGCAGTTTTATAAGTGAGAATCCTGGAGGTTTATTCACATTAACAATGCAGGACACAATGCGAAGGTTGTTAAAGGCTACTGGAGCCCTATGATCACAGGGGTAGAGAACAGAAATTTTTTTTTATAAATCACTCAGTCCTCAGCTGGAGTAATAATCACACTTTTAAAAGGATGTGTGGGCCTTGGAGAGGGAACAGAGTTGATTGATGTGAATGGTAGCAGGGATAAGAGATTCCAGTTATGTTGAGAGACAGTTCTCCTTCGAGCAGATATTGATTGATTGGTTGGAAAACATGAATGGGTTTGGTAGAGTAAATTACGAGAAACTGTTTTCACTGGCAGGAGGCAACAGATGACATGATTTTAAGATAATTGCCAAAAGAACTCGAGGTGAAATGAGAAAACACTATATCCTTCCTGGGGAGTTGATGGATCTACAGAAGCACTGCCTGGTAGCAGATCCGATAGGAAGGCTAGGAAGAGAATCGGATAAACACTTGGAGGGACAATATTGCAGGGCTGAGAGAAAGAGCAAGAAGAGAGAACAGTTGGATAACTCAACCAAAGAGCTTACAGAGATATAATGGGCCAAATGGCTCCCTATTTCGTAGTATCATACTTTGATTCCAACTCAAATGTGAAGACCAGTTAATCCTGACTAATGTGAAAATGTAAACTCATTTTAACACTTTTTTGTTCAGTCATTGTGAGAGATGCATATTACAACAAATCCATTAACAAAATATAATCAGGTGTGTGATCCGTGTCAGTGGGATACAGGATCGTGACCACTGCCTGTGATATACAGGATTGCAGTCCATGTCTGTCGGATAGGGATTGTGAGCTATGTCTATGGGATAAAATGATAACAAATAGGAACAGGAAAGGCCATTTGGCTCCCTGAGCCTGCCCTGCCATTCAGTTGGATCATGGCTGATCTGACAATCCTCATGTCCACTTTCAGCTTTTTACCTGTAGCCCTTGATTTTCCCCCAATCACGAATCTATCTCAGTCTTAAATATACACATGGACTCTGCCATGCAGCTCTCTGTGACAAGGAATTCCAAAAAGAGTTAACCCTCAGAGAAGAAATTCCTCCTTATTTCAACCTTAATTTGGTGCCCCTTTATTCTGAGACTATATCCTTTAGTCCTAAACTCTTCCATAAGGGAGTTAACCTTTCCACATCTATCCAGTCAAGTCCCCTAAAGATTTTGTATGCAACCTGCTCAACATTTGCTCAGCCAAAGAAAAGGCTTCCCTTCCCCTCTCTGCTGTCTCAGGTGCGTCCTTGGCAGAACAAGGTCAACAACTCCAAGGTCCAGCAGCCACACACTCATTGTGAAGTCAACAACATCTGCTCTGACTCAGTCACTTTCACTGGATGGATTTCAGCCATTTACATAGAGACCTCCTGCAGTGAGCTGGCCACCAGATCACAGCCTCCAGGGTGTCCATACCCCTTCTACAAGGACCAGTCAATGAGATATGAAGATGATGGAAAGTGACCCTGATGACTGGGGGACAGTCACTGATGGCCGGGACCTCTGGAGGGTGACTGTTTGGAAGGTCATTGGAAGTGGTGAGAGAAAACAAAAAGCTCAGCTGCTGAGAAGAGGGACCCAGAGAAAACTGAGGCCAGAGCACCTTCTCAGCTCAGTGTCTTCCTCTGCAGTAACTGAAGCAGAGACTGCCCTGTCAGAGTACAGTTCACATACCACATCACACAATGCTTAACACATAGTTAACCACCCCAGTGCAAACCGCACAAAAAAAATACTGTACCCATAGAACACTCTGAGGGCAGGTATGGCACAGGGATAAGTACAAAGTAAAAGTCCCTCTACTCTTTTAAAATGAAAATAAAGCTCTCCCTACACTATCCCCATCAAACATTCCCAGGACAGGGACTGCATGGGTTTAGATACAGAGTAAAGCTCCCATGTGGCTTCCATATGCTACATTGTAGAAGGTTGAAGAGGATCCCATTCAATGTTGAAAATGATAGTGACGTCTTGAAGAGAAGATTGCGACAAACCCTTTTCTCTGGTTGGACAGTCAATAACAAAGGGAAACATTCTGAAAGAACATTGAGGAGGAAATTGAAGACACACCCTCCACATGAAGGGTTCAGGAAATCTGAGAAAAAAATTTGTACACTTGTCATGTGGAAAGAGGCCATTCAGCCCATCAAGTCTATACCAACCTTCCAGAAAGCATCCCACCCAGACCCAGCCCCCCTGCATTAACCAAGGCTAATCCACCTAGCCTGCATGTCTTTGGATTGTGGGAGGAAACCAGGGCAGCCAGAGGAAACTCACACAGACACGGGAATTGCACCCGGGTCCCTGATGCTGTGAGGCAGCAGTGCTAACCACTGAGCCACTGTGCTGCCCAGAAATCAGAAATATAACTTTTCAAAGCTGCGTTCAATAAGTAACTGATGGGTGAGAGCCACTCCATAGTAAATATAAACACAGTGGACCAGACTGGATTACAGACCGAGAAACAGGGAAAATGTGGAGAAATGAGAATGAGATATAAGTGATCCTGGACCTCACTGAATGGTGGAAAGCCCATTCGCTGTTCCTATAATTGCTGGAAAATATCATCACTTCTAAGTTGATACTATTTCCATGTATGTAAGACTTTAACATTGTGAAACATCCCCAGGTGCTTCATAGGAATGTCACTAACTTGATCCAGCCACATGAAGAGATGTGAGGTCAGAATTGTGTTTTAAAAAGGAGAGATTAAGGGAGAGAATTCCAGAGCTCGGCTACCAGATAATAGCAGGGATGGCTATCAATGATGGAGAGATGAAAATAGCGGGTGAGTTAGAGGCCAGACTTGGAGAGATGTGAAGGACGTTGGTGGAGTTTATCTGGAGGAGAAAGTGATGAAGTTAGTGAAGAAATGGTGAAAACAGGGAGGGATTGGAAAGCAAGGATAGAAATGTTGTTAAACCGAGGCATGACTAGATTGTGATCCCACCATTTCTCCCAGGCTGCAATCCTCAATCCTTACAAAGCGTGAACTCACACAGTATTGGCAGCTCCAGCCCACCGTAGTGTGGGCCAATTCCTTCAGCTCCTGGATGCTGCTGGGGCTTAGGCAGGCCATGCGTCGCAGGCAGCCATCATGAAAGACCCGGGTGCAGATCCTACAGGGATAAAGGTGATCCGCTGTCCAGACCTCACAGACGTCGCACATTTCGTCATTGACTACCTGTCGAAAGGAAAGGAACATTTGATTCCAGGATTCCATGATTCCAGGCTAATCATTTTAATAGAGCACTTTCACTTCACCTATGCATGCTGGGATAGTTGACTGCTCATTGTACATACCTGGAATTGACAGTGAATCTCACCGGATCACAGCCTCTGATGTCGGATCTCACTAAATCCACACTGATGAGACAACAGTGATGGTGGCTAAGGATGGTGATATTGAGATAATGAATTTATAAATGACATTTGATAAAGTGGCACATGTTAGCATTGTTTGTAAAATTGAAGTCTGCGGGACAGCAAAGCCTGAAGACAGAGTAGGCTCTGGGATAAAACAAAAACACATAAGAAAGTAAGGATTAGGAAGAGGAGTAGGCCATACAGTCCTTCAAGACGGCTGCACAATTTGACAAGATCAGTGTTGATCTGGTTGGAAACTCCATTTCCTTATCAGCAATGCCTGCCCCCCTCCCCTTATAGCCCTGGACTCCTTTGTCAATCAAAAATTCAGCCTTGAATATATTCAATGGCTCAGCCCCAGTGCTCTCCCAAAGGAAAGAACAGCAAAGGCCTTCAGACTAAAGCAGAGAATGTGTGGGGTTACACTAAACCTGGATGAAACACCAATCTGGCACCAATTGGGTCAGATTTTCTGAGGAGTGGCAATCTCATGCAGAGTGCCACTCCACCCCTTCCTTTCTAAGAAAGAAGGGAGCTCTGCATTTCTGCGAGGAGATTCCTTCCATGTCTCGCTCGGAAAGGCAGAGTGGTACTCTCATTCTGACAGTTCTTTCGGAGCACAGAACTACCAGGGCAAACCATGTCCCCTTTTCAGCAGTCAGCTGCCATATTCTGAAAGTTAAAGACCCTGCCAAACACTTTAACAGCTGCTGTCAAACAATAAATACCTAAGGCATGATGATGTCAGCGTGCAGTGAGGGTGTGGTGCTTAATAGGTGGGCAGGTGACGGGAGCATGCCAATTAAGTTGAGTGCCAGCTGGGTAGGGTGCCAGCTGGGTAGAGTGCCAACCAGGCAGGAGTTGTGTGGCCAGTGTGTAGGATGCCAGCTGACTGGGAGCAGATTGACAGGTGAGTAGGGTACCATGCGACTAGGGTGCCAGCTTGGGGATGGGGTAGTTTCCTGGAGGTAGGATAACAGATGAGTCGTGGGTGATATGCCAAGTGGGAAGGGTTTACTTAATTTAATCCAAATCCTCTGAATCTACCCGATTTAAATAGAGACTTTCAGAGGCCTCCACGTGCAGAGGAACTTCCCAGAAGAACATTCAATTTCCTGGGCAGTTCCTTTGGAGTGTGTTACAATAGTAATTCCCCAAGGTCTCCTTGAACAATCCTCATCTGCACCGACAGAATGACTGTCTGGCCATCAGAAAATCAGGATCATTGTGTCTTACTGTAGACCCACACTTTAAGAAAGCATTGGAAGCATTTAGGAGAGGGTGTGGAAGAGATTGATGAGGATGGTTCCAGTGATGATGGACGATGGCAACTTGGCTAAAGAGGTTAGATTGTTCCACTTAAAGCAGAAGAAGAGATGGAGAGATTTTCAAAGTGTTTGAAGTCATGACGAGAGTAATTAAAGCAAAACAAAATGGTTTCCAGTGGCCAATGGCTCTAAAACATGAGAAAAGATTTAGAGGAGATTCTACAGAAGAAGATTCTAAAAAAGAAGCAGAGGTGAGGAAACATCATCATCATGGAATGGGTGGTTCAAATCTGCTGCCTGACCGGGAGGTGGCAACAGATTCAACAGAAACTTTCAAAACAGAGATGGATTAATACTTGAAGAAGAAAAGAATTCAGGGACACCGGGGCATCGAGCAGGGATTAACTCTTTGGAAAGGCCAGTGCAGACTCAGTGGGATGAATGGCCTCTGTCAGTGCCACAAACGCCTCATTGCATCCAAAGTGAATGAATGCGTACCCAGTCACATCAAACTTCACTTTTCCTCCTTTGATTTTTCCTGCTCACTTCAACTGTCCACATCAATTTTCCACTTGCTGCTTTGATCTACAAAACAGACAGTTCCTCCTCATCTACTGTCTTCTGCAAGAGCCTAGAATTATTATTGCTTGGGGGCATAAACTAAGTGTGGCATGAACCAATTCACTTTCAGTCCCATTGTATACCCAAGTTGACACTGACCCCTAGTATCAGAAATGGACATCTCATACGGGGTTGAGAAGCAAACAGGGTGAAGGACATGAACTTAGTAGGTTGTACTAATTCAGCAAGTGACAAATATGAGAGTCCATCAGTTCAGAATGTGCTTCGATTGCCTGCTGCTCTGAAATAGATACCATAGGGAGTAGCTGAGGTAAGTTGCATTTACTCTGTATCTGAACCCATGCTGTTCCTGTCCTGGGAGCGTTTGATGGGGACAGTTTGGAGGAAGTGGACAGTGAAGAAAGTTATCTAAGAGGACAACGGGATCTTGATCAACTGGGCCAATGGACCAAGGAATGGCAGATGGAGTTTAATTCAGTTAAATGCAACATGTTGCATTATAGTAAGACAAACCAGGGCAGGACTTACACAGTTAATTGTAGGGTCATGGGGAATGTTGTTGAACAGAGAAACTGAGGGGGTGCAGATACATAGTTCTTTGAAAGTGGTATCACAGGTAGACAGGATGGTAAAAAAGGTGTTCAGCACACTTATCTTCAGTGGTCACAGCATTGAATATAGAAGTTGGGAAGTCATGTTACAGCTATACAAGACATTGGTAAGGCCACATTTGGAGTACTATGTACAATTCTAGTCGCCCTGCTATAGAACAGATGTTTTTAGACTGGAACGGGCGCAATAAAGATCTACAAGGATATTACCGAGACTGGAAGGTTTGAGTTATAGGAAGCGGCTGGATAGGTTGGCACTCTTTTCCGTGGAGCCTAGGAAGCTGAGAGGTGACCTTAAAGAGGTTTATAAAATTATGAGGGGCATTGATAAGGTGAATAGCCAAGGTCTTTTCCCCAAGATAGGGGAGCCCAAAACTACAGGACATAGGTTTAAGGTGAGGGGGGATGGATTTAAAAGGGACCTGAGGGGCAACCTTTTCACACAGAGTGTGGTGCGTGCGTGGAACAAGCTGCCAGAAGAAGTGGTACAGGCAGGTAAAATTACAACATTTAAAGGAGATTTCAAAAGGTATATGAGTAGGGAAGGTTTAAGAGGGATATGGGCTAAATTAAGGCAAATGAGACTAGTTCGGTTTAGGAAACTTGGTCAGCATGTATGCTGTATGACTCTAAGACTCTATGATTTTATGACTCTATGTAACTTTACATTTGACCCCATGTTGTCCCTGTACTGGGAGTGTTTCATTAGGACAGTGTAGAGAGAGCTTTACTTCCAGTTTAAAAGAGTTGAGTGAGCTTTAATTTCTGTTTAAAAGAGTAGATGCAATCATGGGAAAAGCATATGCAGAAAAGAGGGAAGGGGGTGTGGACATGCATCAAGGTGAGTATGGTGCTTGCTCACAACAAGAGCCCTCATCGTGGAGCTGGGTGCTGTGATGCAACAGCTACTTCAAGGGGCTAGCTGGCCAGGAAATCCTCTGGCTCTTACTGCCTGCCATCGGCACAGCAGAAGGACTTACAGACTCACACGCAACATCTTTAGCCACGTTACGTTACACCTCCCCTATTGATCATGACCCTGAAGTGAGACTGAAACCAGAAACATTCACTGCATCACGCAACCTCCCTTTGAAAGGGAGTAGGAGGAGCCTTGCAAAATTACAGAACTGTTACGGTGTATAAGGAGGCCATTCGGTCCATTGTATCTGTACAGTTATATTCCCTGGTGCCAATCTCCTGCCACTTCGCCCATTGACACTGTCCAACCAGCTCATGAATTTGAAACCCTCCATGAAATCTCCTCTCAGCCTCTTCTCTCTAAGGAAAGCATTCCCAAGTTTTTCAATCTATCCTCATCACTAAAATTCCTCATTCCCGGAACCATTCTTGTAAATCAACCCCGCACGCACTCCAGTGCATTCACACAGGCAGGGGATGGCTTAATGATATAATTCCTGGACTGTTAATCCAGAGACTTAGCTAATGTTCCAGGGACCTGGATTTGAATCCCACCAATGGTGGAATTTGAATTCAATACATTTCTGGAATTAAGAAACTCAAATGATGACCACGAAGCCATTGCCAATTGTTGGAAAAAACCATCTGCTTCACTCATGTCCTTCAGGGAAGGAAACTGCCATCCCTACCTGGTCTGGCCTACATGTGACTCCAGACCCACAGCAACATGGTTGACTCTTAACTGCCCTCTGGGCAATTAGGGATGGGCAATAAATGCTGACCTAGCCAGTGATACACAATAGGTGAAAGACTTTTTTTTTAAATTCATTCTTATAATGCAGCATCCACACATGCTGTACATTTGTTGTAATAGATGGTGGGAATGAGGTGATTGTCAGGGGATTTATAAATAGATCAAAACCTCAAGAAGAAAAAGTGTATCTTCACCTCAGCAGGACACAGTGATCAACTGAATGTGATAGAAAACTTACACAAACATGCAGAATGCTGGAGAAACTCAGCAAGTCTCCGTGGACAGAGGAACAGAATTAACGTTTCAGTTCAATGTTACAGGCTCTGAAGAAGAGTCAAACTGGATTCAAAATGTTATTCAATTCTCTCTTCACAGAGGCTGCCAGATTTGCTGAGTTTCTCCAGTGTTTCTGCCTTTGATTCAAATTTCCAGCATCCCAGTGCTTCATTTTTATTCGAGTAATAGAAAACTCTTTGTACTTTAGAAACATAATCGCATTATCTGCTGGGTCTGATATTGCAGTACACAAAAACAATCTCATCTCCAAATAGGACTTTTTTGTTCCTTAACTGGGTAAAGGAGCATTTGGAATTTGCAAAAATTGATATCCAAACATCTTCCAAAGTTACAATGATTTTTACTTTGCAGCTTAGTCCTGGGCCCACAGATCTGTTCAGTAACGAGG